TGGGGGGGGGGGGGGGTAGCTGGGTGCAAACTGTGAAGTGTGTGGGTTCAACCCTTTGCTACCAGCACGTCATGTGGTGTGACGGTCAGTCATTTCATCTTGCAAGCCAGTAGGCACGGGTTCAATTCTGACAATGGGAGGATAAATTATTGAAACATCTCCGTCGTTCACCTCATCAGCACACAGGTGACCATGGTAGTAAGTGAGGAGTAAGGTAGAAACAGTCTGCATCCACAATTTAAAAAAAAACTACACTGTACATTACAGATGTTTTTTATGCTCCCATTGACACGATTTAGATCATTTAGGAGGCGGGCTTCCGACCCTGCCTGTCAGAGCCAATCTCGGCTGAGTTTAGTTTTAATAAGAGTTTTACAGCACTTTCAACACAGTAAGGTCATATAAGTGCTTAAGATTAGAAGTGTTACAAGAGAGTAACAAACACAAAAAAGGAGGGGAGATAGAGACGATAGATTTTTTATAGGAAAAAAGGAGCAAACCACACCAGAGCACCCGCCAAACACCCACTCTTGGCTGAGTGGGACACAACATCCGAGCAGAAAACCCCAGATTCTTGAAAAAATTTGCCCCACTCGGGAAACGAACTCAGGTCTCCTGCATGCGACAGCCAAGTGCCTAACCACTACACTACAGACGCCGGTACATCCAGAATGATAGAATGATTTCTGTTGATAAGGGCCTAACTAAAAGTCTAAAGTCTAAAGCATAATACACATGTTAAAAAATAATAATAATTACATATATACACACACACACACACACACATATATAAACGCTATACTGTACACAAATACATAAAAACAAAAAGAGACAGAGATGTCAAGCAAGATCTACTCCATCGTAGTCGTTTATTGCATTAAAAAACAAAACTGATGACTTGTTCTCTCTGCAGACGTACAATGTCCAGGCACAGACAGAGATCATGATAATATAACATTAGTATACGCATTATTTACAAGTGTTTGCAAGCTCTAATATACACACACACGTATGCAAGCACGTACGAACGTACGCAAGCACACACACACACACACACACACACACATGCGCGCATGCACGCACACACAACACACGCTGTCACAAAAGAATCAGTCATCATAATAATAATAAAAACACAAAGTGTAAAGAGTAGTTTCTACGTGATCCTCTTTGAGGTTGAAACGAGAAGCACACATAGAGGCAATAATAACCGTCCTTCTGTGCTTTATAGAAAGAATCAGACAAACGGACACAACCTAGGCCTACTAAGGAAAAGAAGAGAAGTAGGACCTGCTGCTAGCGATGATCTCCAACTCCAACCTGTCACACGAGACGCTATTATAACATCTAAAATCAAGTTTAAGTTAAGAATGTGAAAATGGTATAGGTTTACCAATGCTACATCAACACTGCCAGGTTGTGTAAGAGGCGGGACCTCCCAGTTTAACGTCCATCTCCGAAAGGACTGAGCCAAATGGGACATTCGTGTAAAATGCCTTTCCCAAGGACGCAACATCGGAAGTAGCCTAATCACTAGGCTATCAAAGCCACCAAGTTAAGTAAGTGAAATGTGTTTGAAAAAGGAATCATCCACATTCCGCACAGCAGTCACAGGAAATTATCCTGGGGCATCCATCAAGATACCCACATGGGTACAAAAATGCCCCCCTCCCCTCCCCTCGCCTCTCTACCAACACAAAAGAATACACTTACACATATCGTCAAAGACCACAAAAAAGTTTTTTTTTTTTAATTTAAAAAAACATTAAAAAGTTGTACGGTAACTGACTACAATGGCTAACCAACAGCTTCCTCCACGACACTAGAGCTATGTGTCAGCTGAAACCAGAAATTCTAGACCACCGCCTCTAATCACAGCTAAACACCTAACAAAATCTCTAGCAAGTACAAATAAAACTTAATTAAGGGAAATACAGTGGAGTCCACTTAAAAGTTAGACCAAAATCTGCAGGAACGCAAAATTTTTTTCACTTTAGCCGGGTTTAGTTTAGTTTTAGGGCACTTGCAACCCAATAAGGTCATATAAGTGCCGAAGATTAGAGGTGTTACAAGAGAGTAACAAACACAAAAAAGAAGGAAGGGAGATAAGGACGATAGACGTTTGATAGGAAAGAAGAAGCAAACCACACCAGAGCACCGCCAACTACCCACAAGCCAGGTTTTCAGTCTAAAGAGGTTGCTCGAAAAAAGAAGACCCCAAAAAAAAAAAAAAAGTTTGAGGGATTTTAATAATTTTCTTACGGTTTACCGCTGTCTTTGGATTGACCGTGTTCTGTTTAAGTGGACTCAGCTATATTCAGATCCCCAAGGCAGACTCAACATTCTTCACAAGGAACGGAACTTTGTACATTGTAGCGGTACACAAAACCTATCCACAGTAAAAGTACTTTTCTCCCATTTCTCCACACTAACATCCGAGCTGAGGGCAGCAAGAACACACACATTTACTGTGTCAAAATATCTGTGTCATAAAACTGACACATTACGACAGAGAGAACATTCACTGTAGATTACAATTAGGTCACATAAACGCAGGCATCATTCATCATGTGTATTATACACAAAAAGAAAAAAAAAGAAAATTCAACATACCGAACAAGAAAAACAAATTTTAAAAAAAAACCTGTTCTTCGTCAAACGTGGACAGAATGATTACAAATATATCGTATGTTTCTATTGACAAAACCTACACCATTTTAGGAAACTGGCTGTTCAAAAAATTTGTCTGTCGTGGCTAATCTGAGCTGAGCAGGATACGGTATCCTGGCAAAAAAGACGCAATCAAGATTCTCGATAAAATAGATATCCCTCTCATGCCAGAATCAAACTCCTGTCTTTTTCCAGCAAAGGCGAACATTCTATTACATCACAGACGCTGATAGCTGGACTAAAAAAAGGAAACCCCAAGATTAAAAATTATGATCATAAAATGTCCACGACTTGTGATGTGACAAATAATAAAATATATGGCATCGAGGCGAGATCAGGCGCTAATCAAAGTAATGAAATTGATGACACCAACATTTTTCCGTCTGTTGGGCAATTTCTTTGGGATTTTTTTTAGGCTGTGGATTTTACTGAAAAAACACTTACCAAAGGCACAGAAAGAGTAATTTAAGCTTTCGACATCACAAAACTTTGGCGGCCATTTTCTCCCTAATTTTACCCCAGACACCCACCTCTCTTTCAATCACAAAACTTTGCTTCTGTTCAAGATGGATGGGAATTTTTTTTTTAAATCAGAAGCAAGACAGAAGAACAAGCTTTAAAATTACAAAATTCTTAGGACTCCAAATGCCCAAAAATTGTCTAGCGCCCGATTCCACCTATTCTTGACACAAATGATAACCTACGTATTATACTGTACTAAAAATGTCTATTGTCTTTCAACTGGCCATGTGATCGACACTGTGATGGTTGTATTAAGTCATAAAAAGGATCGCCAACTCTCAAGGCAACTGACAGACACAACAGGAGGCTGACAAGCCACTGGGACTACGGGAAAATACCTGAAAATTTACAACAAAGTTGCATTTGGGGAAAAAAAAAAATAAATAAAAAGGAAATAGACAGAACTAATATGGGTTAAACAGAAAACAAATTTTAATGCTTACAATAATAACTTCTTCTTTAGGAAATAAAGGCAATACCGGACCAAAAAAAACACACGGAAAAACGTCATCCCTGAAAGAAGTTTGTGAACACAGACAGCACCCATGAGGCGAGTTCTTGAACCTTGAGCTACCGTAGGCAGATGCTGGGAAGTGACATCAGATTTTTTTAATCATCAGACAAGTTTTCTCGCATCTACCGTACTTCAACTCCAACATTTAAAAAAACCATCAACACAAAAACATCCAATACAGGCAATTCTTTTCTGGATTCACTTTGAGCAAAGTCCAAAGCTGCACATGTTACATACAGCCTAGCACGCTTATAGCAAAATTGGCCGGACGCCGAAATCTTTACTTTACATACAAATTTCACTATGGTGTGTATGCATTATATATACAAAGAGGAAATAAAACATGTGAGAAAAAATTTGGGGGCCTGCACCTGAAGATCTGTTCACAGTGTGCGTGTTCGCTATGTCTGTGTCCGCTACAAGCGTGCTAGACTGTATAAATATATAATTTCCACAGACGATACAAACAGGAAGTAGATGAGAAATGCTACTGTACAGAAAACGTCCCCCTAAGACACACGGAAAATGTCAACAACAGATCCTGGTAGCCTCAAAAATCAGTCCCGACCTCCTCCCCAGAGGCTTCCACTAGCACTAAACTACACATCATTCTTCTCTCGGACCAACTGTACCTCTTCCACCCAAATGCCAGACTGACTGATGGACACATTTCGAGTTTTTAACTGCCATTCTTCACACTCAGAGGCTCCAGTGCCATAATTTATTGTAGGCTCTCCCTTTTTTTCCCCACCACCCAATCCCCTCCCCTCTCCCTTCCACTGTGAATCTTCATTTTCACAACATATGCGCTACTCACTTAAGTCTGAAGTGCACCGTCTTCAAAACAACATGTTTACTACAGTGTCTACCGGGGCATCAAACTGTTACTTTAACACATTCGTCTTCTTTCTCTACAAAAAAAAAAGACGAAGATGCATCATGCTCTAAAACTGATCTGACAAACGCCCGATAAAAGAAAGATGTACTGTTGCTGGCTAAACCTTTGACCCTGAGTGTGTGTGTGACAAAAGATAGTGGCTGCAAAAGTGCAGACTTTAAAAGGAAAACCCAAACTGGACAACTTGTCCAGCGTGCAGTTCCGGAGCCAGTTCCCCTAGATCTAAATCTAAATAAAAATCATCCCCAGACTTCAGAACCCGGCGGTCTTTTCACAACCTGGCCATATTTACAATGTATTCTGACCATTTGACTTTGACCATCACACCCAGGACCGTCAGACAAAGAGCGAGCCCTCTGCCTACTTGACCAGCGGGCGGCTGGCGTCCTCGTCCAGGCACTTGGCACTCTTGTACTTCTGCACTTCCTGCAGGTAGCGAGCCCAGGCGTCCAGCTTCTCCTGGCTCCCCTCCGCCTGCGAGGGAAAGATCTCCGCGGTCAGAACCTCATGGGGACACGGCAAGCAGTGAAGGAGGTGTCAGAGGGAGGGAGGAGAGAGAGAAAGAGGGAGCGGAGACAGAGAGGGGGAGCGGAGACAGGGAGAGAGAGGGGAGGGAGGGAAAGATCTCAGTGGTCAGAACCTCATTAGGGACGTGGCAAGCAGTGAAGGGGGGAGGATGAGAGGGAGCGGAGAGAGAGAGAGAGAGAGAGAGAGAGAG